ATAATAAAAATGAAGAATGAGAGAAAGAAAGGAAAGAAAACAGTAGCATTTTAAAGCAGTTCGTGTTTAGAATACTACTATTTGAAGTCAAGTAGTTAACTTAATTGGAAGATATCTGCTTGTCCACACATCCTTCTAGATCTGCCTGCCTTCGTTCTGCTTACAGCATTCACGCATCAATGTTGTATGCTCTTGTTACATACGCAACTAGCTGTGGACTGCTATGAAAGTAATTGAAGTAGGTCTAACATGACTCCTAAATGTATTTCTTCCATGCCTTGCCTGTAGGTTTTCTTTTATAGTGAAACACTGGAGTTGGTCTTGGCATCTCTAGGCGCTCTTCTCTTCTGTGGATTTATCATCTACGACACACACTCACTGATGCACAAGCTGTCCCCTGAAGAGTATGTATTAGCTGCCATCAATCTTTACCTGGACATTATCAATCTGTTCCTGCACCTGTTGAGGTTTCTGGAAGCAGTTAATAAAAAGTAATCCAACAGTATACAGAGACCATTTTAGTATGTAAAAAGTTTGAATTACACTTAAGTATTAAAATCATTTCTGATCTTTCTTGGCATTCTGTTTTCTTCTCTGTTTTAGAATCTCACTATTCACTGTGTTATCTCATTTCCAGATCCTTGACTTAGAATCTCAGACAAAAGATGCTAAAATTGTTTCACGCTTTTTTGTCAGTTGAGGCAGGGTCTCACTGCATAGTCCAGTATAGCTGCTAACATATGACCCTGCCATGTCATCTTCCTGTGTTCTGGGAATACAATCAGATACCACCATGCCTGGCTTATTTACCAATTTGTGTTTAGTCCTAAATTAGCCAAAGTAGTTGTTTGTCTGTAGTTCAAAATAATAAAATGAATAGATTTGGCCTGTGTGTGTGTGTGTGTGTGTGTGTGTGTGTGTGTCTGTTATTAGCAGAGACCAGAAGGAGGCGCTGTGTCACCTGGAGCTGGATTTACAGGTAGTTGTGACTGGAGTTCTCTAAAAGAGCAGCAAGTGCTCTTCATGATCACTGGGCTATTTCTCCAGCCCCAGTGCCCATCTCTCATAGTGCCCAGTTGACAAACGGACGATCACTGGTGTAAAATACATTTGATAAGTGAATGCTGTGTATACTTAATGGCAACACATTTTATAGGGTTAGCCCTTTTTATTTTTACTCATCACTGTGTGCGTCCTTCTGTGTCAAGCAATGAGAGCTTGCCAGGCAGTAAATAAACCCATAAAAGAATTGGTAAGTATGGGGACATGGACGACTTAAGTATTTTATATATCACATACAGGTGAACCCCTGTGCTTAATAACCAAGTGAGCAGACTTGGCAGGACACAGAGAAACAGGCAACTCAACGGTGCATCAGAGGAAGAGGGAAAACAGGAGGACCAGAGTGCTTTTGATTGCTGAATAGCTGGTGGACAAAGAGGTGTGGTGGTGGCAGCAGCAGTGGTGTGCATGCCTTTAATCCCAGCTCTTGGGAAGCAGGGACAGGTGGATCTCTGTGAGTTGGAGGCCAGCCTGGTCTACAGAGTGAGTTCCAGGACAGCCAGAGCTGTTACACACAGAGACCCTGTGTCAGAAAAACAGACAAACGAAAGAGACGGAGTGGAGCCGTGTTATCTGCCCTTGGTTTTCTGCACTCAGACCGGGTTGTAGTTCATGTGGTCTGGTTTCTGTGGGTTGCTGCCAGCAGTGAGCCTCAGGCCAATAACTGCCATCTCTGTAGTTCATGGTCCTGATATCTCAACCACCTTGGGAATTGGAAGTCACTGTATGAATTGCAGAACTCTTTCTGCTCCCAGGGACCCAGGAATCTCATGGAAAGACCTTGCTGTGGGAGCCCCACCCACTGCCAAACACCACTTGTGTCAAACACCTTTTAGGTGAGAAGTCAGTTGTTTTCCTGTGGAGCATTGAGCATTACTGACTGTGCATGTAGTTCCAAAAGCTTGTTCCAGCTCTCTTGACTTTCTGTGTGTGTGTGTGTGAGTGTGTGTGCCTGTGTACCAGTGCATGAAGATGTCATTCATTTACCTTTATTTTTTATAGACAGGGTCTCTCACTGGCTGGAATTTGTCTAATAGGCTGGCTGTGCAGCCCAAGGGATCCCAGTGCCTGTGTGCTTAGTGCTGGCCACTTTTTTTTCCACATGGGTTTTAAGGGTCAAAATCAGATCCTCTTGGGTCTGACCTCCCCAAAGCCTCATTCTCCCACCTTTCTGAGAATGCCCATTCTAGAGTTCATGCTTGAATGTTTGAATGAAGGCAGGAATTCATAATATTAAAACAAACAGCAAAAAACAAAACACCTTCTGACATTTGGCCCCTAGAACTACTTACTTCCACTTACTTAGTTCCCAATTTAGTATTGAAAAGACCATTGTAATGCAATGCTGAGTTGTGGAATGTATTTTAGTACTATAATAGGTTGTTTCCTTTTGCGAGGTTTCTGTTCAAAAGTCACAGCCTTTTGCTACCTGAAACACGCTGTCTATTTAGAGCGTCATTAAGGTGGCTTTTAAAAATCCAGTGCGCACTTATACTTCCTTTGTTTTTAATGTCACCTGTGTTTTGTTTTGCATGTGGTAAAAGATTTTAAAAGTGTTATGCTAGGCATGGTTTCTACAAGGAGACACAGCTCTACTAGCACCCAAACAGGAATTTCATAAGCCATCATTAAAGATAATGTCTGGAGCTGGAGACATAGTTCCCTGGTTAAGAGCACTTGCTGCTCTTGCGGAAGACCGAGGGTACAGCCAACTGGCACTCCAGTTCTAGGGGATGAGACACCCTCTTCCTGCCTCCCCTGACACAGGCACACTTGTGGTACACATACATCTGCGGTGGTTTGAAAGAAAATAGTCCCCAAAGGGCGTGGCACTGCGAGGAGGTGTGGTCTTGTTGGCGGAAGTGTATTGGCAGGCTTTGAGGTGACTTTCCTCTAGCTTTAGGCATTGTGACAATCAATGGTCATGGTGTCTCCCCACAGCAATAGTGAACCCTAAGACACTTACCTAGTATCAGACACTCTCATAAACCATAACAATGGATCCTTAAAGATAGTTCTGTGGTTGTGATGTATGCTCTCATCTATATAAAACACTGTTTACAAATTGTACTGGCTCGCTTGCCTAGTCACCTACTGAAGATCACTGAATGACGTACACACCGATGTCTTTCACAAAAGTTAATACTGTGCATCCCCATGGCCTGTGCAGTTAGAAGCACATGCAGGACCATACATGTCTGTAACCTCAACCATCCCAGTCTTGGCTTTGTCTCAGTTACCTAACGGTTTTTGTACAGATCAACACTGGCCGCAATAGGTCACTCGACCCTTCCAATTCTTCAGGATAGGGAAGGATTATTTTCTGCTTGGGTGACAGCTTTGAAATGTAACTGGCATGCAGTAAACTCGACATATTTAAACCGTACACTCTGACACACTGCCACGTAACGCGTCCATCCTGGATGGATTCCTCCGCGGAATTGGGGGAAATTCTGCAGCCTGCAGATCCATCCTCACTGAAGGCTCCAGGATGGGAAAGCGCCGCCGAGCGATCGCTTGGGTGTCCCGCATCCGCGAGGGTCGTCCCAGGCAGGGCTTGGCCGACCCGGGGCTTTGAGGGTGAATGGCTCGGCCTCCGTCGCTCCCGACAGGAAATCTCTGTGCTGCCTTCTCCAAACACAACACAACCGGCGCCCAGGGCAAGCTGGACCGCGCCCCGCGGGACTCCGGAGGCCACGCCCCTGGGGGGATCCGGAGGCCACGCCCCTCGGGCTCCCGGCATGCCGCGCGCCGGGCTTGGGCGGAAGGCGGAAGTTCCTGGGCTTCCGGGTGGCGTCCTAGGCGTGCGGCGCGGCCGCGATCGTCAGGTGAGTCGCGTGGGTCTGGGCCTTAGTTCCGCGGCGTGGAGGACAGGCGTCACCCGTTCCCCCGGACGGCGGCGCCAGGCTTCCCCCTGCCCCGGGGCCGTGGCTGGCGGAGCTCAGGCCGCCTTCGGCTCGCCCAGTGGGTTACCGTGGCCGTCCGCGCGGGGCCGCCGGCCATTGCTGGCGTGTTCAGAGGGTGCTGGCTCACCCCGCCACCCCGCGGTGCACGCCACACCCCGGCGCACGCCACCCCGCGGTGCACGCCACCCCGCGGTGCACGCCACACCCCGGTGCACTCCACCCCGCGGTGCACGCCACACCCCGGTGCACTCCACCCCGCGGTGCACGCCACACCCCGGTGCACGCCACACTCACGGCGCACGTCACCCCGCGGTGCAAGCCACCCCCGGTGCACGCCACACCCCGGTACATGCCACACTCACGGTGCACTCCACACTCACGGCGCACGCCACCCCGCGGTGCACGCCACACTCACGGTGCAAGCCACCCCCGGTGCACGCCACACCCCGGTGCACGCCACCCCCTGCTCTCTGCAGACGCCACTGGCAAGAGTGAGATGAGGGTTGAAGGAGGCGAGGGGAAGTCATTAAAGAGTAATTCTAGATGCCTGGCAGTGGCGGGGCACGCCTTTAATCCCAGCACCCGGGAGGCAGAGGCAGGCGGATCTCTGAGTTCCAGGACAGCCAGGGCTAGACCTGTCTCGAAAAACAGCAACCACAAAGAATTCTTTAGTAGGCACTAAGAGCTAGCTAGCTATGCTCTAAGCTTTGAAAACGTTTACACCAACCCGCTCTGTGAAGCATTCAGGACCGAGAAACGGAGCAAGGCAGGAGAGCATTTAGGTAATCTTACGGCGGTTTGTTGACTTTCCTCTCTACCGAGCAGCTTCGCGAATGGACTGATGTACAATTTGTCACTGGCCTATGGGGTCCCGACATTCTTGTATTTATTTGATCGCTGTGTGCCCTGCGTTGATCCTCACATAAGCTAAGCACAAAGACACGGTTGATTATCCTCCATTTGCCCCAGTCCTGAAGAGATGGCTGCCCTACCGTTTCCTGGGTGTGCAAGTGTGTGAATAATTAGCTTTGTTTTGTTTGGGTGTTTGACCGGCAGGTAAAGCATGGCTAAGAGCTTGCGGAGTAAGTGGAAACGGAAGATGCGTGCTGAGAAGAGAAAGAAGAATGCTCCGAGGGAGCTGAACAGACTGAGAAGTATCCTCAGAGTCGACGGTGATACTTTAATGAAAGATGTTGAAGAAATAGCAACCGTGGTGGTACCCAAACAGCGCCAGGAGAAAATGCAGTGTGCCGTGGAAGAGGAAAAGGGTAAGCTTACGTGCTTTATTTACATTACTAGAAAATGGATCTCTACTCTTCCCTGATGTCAGACCCCCCCAGAACACTGGGGACAGATGGCTAACTGTGGCACCTGTTTGCTATCCAAGGGCTTGCTGGCTCCTCTCAGCTTTCCTGTCCCCCTCCCCTAAACCTCTCCACCTCATGGGCTTTCCGTCCCCCAGCCCCCAGCTTCTCGTTCATAAATATCACCCTGCTATTTCAGTCTCCATCTCTCTCTTGCTCCTTTCTCTTCTCCCTTGCTTCCTCTCTGGCTTCCCCCCTCCCCCTTTCGTGGCCAGGTTCAGTCTACCACTTTCTCCCCCTGCTCTGAATTCTCCCAGACGCCCATGGCTGTACCCGGCCTCAAATCTACGATAAAATAATTACCCTTCAGCCATACCACGGAGCGGTCGTGTCCTCGCTTTATACATCTGAATGTGCCCACTCTGTTTACGGCTTCATGCTTTGAAGGCTTGTGTTTCTATCAGAGACTCTGTGCTTAGCTGCTTTAAATTCAGAGCTTGGGAATGAGCATGTCTGGGTTATTAATGGCTCTTCAGCAATTATATAGCACCCCGAGTGCCCCATGGCCTGACAGTACTACAGGAACTGAGGAGAGCTTGGGCGGTTCAGCCAGGGTCTGGGCAGGTGAGAATGGCTTCCACTGTTCGCCTCGAGAGCCGGTTCTCACGCTGTGGAGCCCACGCCCTTGTATTATTTCCCTTAAAAATCACAGAATCCCCCTTTGAGCTGACGTCTTTGAGAGACCTCTGTGCATTATTAATCATGGTTTAAATTTGAGGTTATATACGATGCCGGTTTCGGCAAAGGAAAGGATAACTTTTTTTTTTTTTTCCACGTCCCAGCTTGGCAGCAGCTCAATGAAACACTCACAGTAGCCACTCTTAAAGATGGAAGTGTAGGTATGCCTTCAAGGAGAACAGGGCTCTCAACTCTTCCTACCCAAGATACTATGCTTCCCGTCCTTCCCGAGAAAGCCTTGTCTTTGTCCTCTAGCTTCTGTCAGTCTGCTTTGCTTCAGCCTGCCCTGAGCCATTTGATGCACCTGTGTCCTGTTCGTCACACCTACGCACCTGTGCTCATCAGCTCTTCCTCGTTTTAATGTTACAAGGCATGGACCATTTTAATATGTATGGTTGTGGCATTTGAGTGCAGTCATGATGTTTTGCAACCGACACCTGTGGTTCCAAACATTTTCATCCCTCTGAGAGGAAACGCTGTACCCATTTAGTGATTTCTCTCTCTGTGGATTTCCTGTTTGGGCTATGGCGTGTAAATGGAATCATACAATGGGTGATGCTTTGTGCCTCTCTGACTTACCACGTTTAAATCCTTTGTGTGTTTTTAAATTCTGTCTTGATGGGGTCTGAGTGTTCTTACTAATTCTGGACATCAGGTGCCCGTGCATTTACTTTTCTCTCCTGTGTTCTGTTTCCTTGAGTTTTGATCTTGTAGGATCTTAGTAAGTCCTGGTCTTACAGCCTCCTGCTCTTGTTTGGGGATAGGACTTTACCTTGTTTCGGGTCTCGTTTGCTTCTGGGATTTGAACAGCAGTTCGAGCGCATTGTTTGTTTGTTTTTTGAGTTCCTACCCCTTTGCTCCTGTTCCTTCATGCTCATAGAACACTTTGGTGGCATGCCTGCTTGGTGGGTTGGTGATATTTAAGTGAGACAGCCCAGACATGGTGAGCAGCCGGGGTGCTGGAGGAACATGGAGATTGCGGGGAAGAACTCTGTCATGTTCTGCCTGGAGAATGTGTGGCTAGCCTCGTTTTTGTAATGTTGCAGGAGCTCAGTGGGAACAGAAGCGAGGGGGGTCTTCCTGTTCAGTTATGGACCTGTCCCTAAAGCTTGAGCATCCACCTGCGAGTACTTGTTTCTTCTCTTCGTGTCCCTCTTGCAGCTGCCTACCCAGTCTCTTAGACAAAGCATGCAGCCATCCTCTCTCACAGCTCTACCCCAGGTCTGGGCCAGAGCATCGATCGCGCAGCCAGAGCCGCATGGCCAGCCGCTCCTGCCGTTCCTCGCTTCTAGCTTTTTACTTCCCTCTCTGCCCCTTCTTTCTTATTCTATGTGTCACCATCGTGATCGGTAGTGTTTTAAAATACAAGTCAGATTCTGTCTCTTGCTTGCTCATAATGTAACTTTTGGGACTGAAGGGTGACCCAGCGTGGAGCTCATGCAGAGTTTGGTTCCCAGCTCCTACGTCAGGGGTTCAGGACCTGTAACTTCAGCTCTGGGGACCTGGCTGCTTTCCCTCCACTGGCACCCACACATACATGCACGCACAAGTGGATTTGGGAACGTTCAGCAACCCGTGCCGGCTGTGCTTGACTTTGCTGAAGGTGTCAAGGATGCCATCAAATCTTTTCCTTTCCTTGATTTCAGACTGCCTGTAGTCGTGATGTTCCTGCTGCATTCCTGTGCTTTCATGGGGTTGGTTTTCATCTGTGACTGTTGGTCGCTTTTCATGTTATTGTTTTTAATTTAGATGACATGAAAATGGAGACTGAAATTAAGAGAAGCAAAAAGACTCTTCTAGACCAACACGGACAGTACCCAGTGTGGATGAACCAGAGGCAGAGAAAAAGACTGAAGGCAAAGAGAGAGAGAAAGCGGGGGAAAAGCAGAGCCAAGGCAGCCAAGGGCCTGGCCTGGTAGTCCCTTAAAAGCTGGAAAGTAGGCGCAGCACTCGGGAGGAAGAGGCAGGCCGATCTTGAGTTTGAGGCCAGCCTGGTCTACAAAGCAGATGCCAGGACTGTTACACAGAGAAACCCTGTCTAGAAAAACCACACGCACACACACAAAAGGAAAAAAAACCCTGGAAAGTTTCATGGGACAGAAGTTTGGTTGTTAGGAATGTCTGCACTGATTTCAGCTCTTACTAATTGGAAACTATTTGTTTTCATATTTTAGTTTGGTCTTACATCTGTAATTCAAAACCAGAGTAATTCATTTGTTTTGAGGGAACTTGAATAAACTATCTTCTGTGATGAAAGAAAATTGGATGCTGCCTGATGTTTGAGTATTATTATCAGACACCACAATCTTGTGAGCATCACTGTGGTTATAATTATAATCAATGCCTCAGATTAAACATGCTTATACAAACAAAACTTGGACAAAAGCTAGTACGTTGTTACATTTTACAACAGGGTCAAGGGGTGAAGAAATGTCTGAGCAGTTTAGAGCCCGCTCTGCTCTTGAAGGGAACCCTTGCTTCATGTTCAATGGCTCAGCCGGCTCCAGGGGTCTAACCTTCTGTCCCCCACTGGCGTCTGCTCGAGCTCCCCACACAATCACAACTATGTAAGTCCTGAGAAGGATACCAGTGGATGTGGAGCCTACAAGTGGTATTCACTTGCAGTTTTTAACTTTTTAGCATTCGTAATAAAAGATACTTTGTGTGCAGATCTTACAGTTCCACGTTTTCTTTCATATATCCTCAAGGTTCTCAGCTGCTGAGAAGACCAGATGTCTTTAATTTAGGTGGACTATAACACATACAGATTAGTGTGCATTTTAGGTGATTCAAATAGAGGTTTTTTTCTGGAAACAAATGTTCTTCAGGTTCTTTTTGTTTGTTTGCTTGTTTGTTTTTCTTCTTTTTTGTGATGGGGTTTTTCTGTGTAGCCCTGGCTGTCCTGGAACTCGAAGGCTGGCCTAGAACTCACAGAAATCCACTTCCCTCTGCTTCCGGGATGCTGGGATTAAAGGTGTTTGCTGCCACCAACGCCCAGCAGTGTTGTTCAGTTTTATATTGTGTAGCTTAAGATAATAAAGTGCATTTCCCAGAGTTATTCAGAATCAATTTCTCTGGATGTTTGCTATAAATATATCAATCATCCATCCATTTAGGAAATGGCTCATACTTAAACACAGGTATTAATTAACTAGTGTTAGTGTTTTATGAAGTGTATTGTAACTAGTGTATTGTTTTATGAAGAGAGCTGGCATTAGCATAACTACTGACTCTTTATGGAATGATGAGTTTTAGCTGAATCTATCTCAGTACACTTTAATTTCAACCATTTAATCTAAATTTAGCATTCCATCTGAAATTTCACTCTAGTCAGATTCATCACCTTATGTGTTGAGGAAAACCAGGAACTTTACAAAATATCAGGAGTGCTGTGAGCTGTGCGCCTGCTCAGGAAAAAAAGAAAGAAATTAACTTTGCATGGGAAAACACAAAGCAATACATTAGAATAAGAATACTTGGCCCTGAAACCATGAACTGCCAAGTACCCTGCTGAGCAGAGATACAACCAGATGCCTCAGAAGTAAGCTACAAAATGATGCCCGGTGCTTGAAATTAGCACAGTAGGCCTTCCCCAGTATGCTTGATAGTTCATCAGAAAGTGAATGATTTCAAAATAAAGTACATTCTCCTGAAGGCAGCAAGAAAACTAGGCTGTAGCTCAGCACTGCTCTTCCGTGTATTCAAGGTTCTGGGTTTGACCTCAGCCCTGAAGGGTGAAAAGAAAGGGTGGGAAGGCGGGTAGCGATCAAGGTCTTTCTTACTTTTTGTTGTAGTTGTCAGTAACTTTGTGAGGGGAAAGAGATACACAGTACGTGAAGTAAGATGCTGCCGACAGGAAGTTATTTGCCCTCTGGGATCACAGGCTTGTCTGGGTAAAGTTGACGACACCGTTTCCAGGGATCTATATACATTTTCCCGGTAGCTCATAGCCTCTAATTTGATACCAGTGATAGAAGCTCGGGACACCCACCCAGGGCTCTCAATGATGTTAGCTTGTGCTGTTGGTTGTGACATTTACCCACTCCATTAAAATGTTAAAGTTAGGGACTGTGAGATAGCCCTGTTGGTAAATGCTTAACCATAAAAGCATAAGAATCCCAGTTTGGATTCCTGACACTCACATACAAAGCCGGGCCCGAGAGCATGTGCCTCTGTACTAAGGAGACACAAGCTGGTTCCAGGGCATAGGCCATGCAACTAATCTGCAGGAATGTGACCTGGGGCCGAGCAGTCTGAGCAAATGAATGGGCTCATCTTTAAAAGCAGTGACAGGAAAAAGCAATTGAGAAAAAAGCAGTCGAGGCTGCCCACGCCCAGCTTCAGTTTTCCAAGACCAGTACCAAAAATGCTTGGGAGTCATGTTCTAGTATGTCGTGGTCTCACGGCTTTTAGAAAGGTGACTGCTGTAGAGAAATTAATACTACCTTCCACCCTGATGCATTCCTTTCCAGTTTTGTCAGGAAATCTAAAATGGAATTCCAAAGTCAATTCATGGATGTGGTCAGCTCTTTGTCTCTTTATTTCAAAAGGCAAATCTAAGGAGAAGCAAGCAGTGTGCTTCTTTAAATAACTTCCCTTTATCAATTTGTCTTTGATGCTTTCATCAAATTCCCGGAGAATTGCCGGGAAACCACCAGGGGGCGCCCAAGCCAAGCAGCAAATCACTTGGATTTAGACTGAGACACATTAGACACAAAATACAGCTACCTTTGTTGCCTTTAAAGAGATTAAATATATACATGGCTAGTAAAAAATACACATTTAAAATTATTAGCTCATTTAATTCAGAAATCCTGTGATTGTGCTGCTAATGCTGATCTACACTCAAGGAGTCTAGGGGTCACGGAGCTAAAACCAGGACAGCTGTTCCAAAGAATGCATTCTCAGAGGCAAACGGTGATCTTAGGATGGACTTCTTGTAACTTGGTTTAATCCGAGATAGGATCAGGTTGGAGCAGGCTCAGGTTAGATAAAGAACACACTTTACTAACTAAATGATTTACAGAGCCCCTCTCAAACCTCTAGGTGGAAGCCAGACTGGATTTCTTTAAGTAACACTTCATCAGAAATGTGCTAACTGGTCCAAACACAGGTGTAGGCAAGGTTTGTTAGTGATCAGGCTGCTGAGTTTGTTTCTGAGACAAGGCCTTGTTATGTAGGCCTGGATAGTCATAGATCAAGCTATTGTAACTTGCAGCAATACCTCAGCATCCCGAGTCCTGGAATTACAGACATGTACCACCACGGTGGAAAGTTGGCCACGTGGTGTTTGATTACTGTCACATGAATGCAGATGCGTGGCTGTAACACATCAGTGGCTTTCCTCATCAGTGGCTATAAAGAAATTGGATGTCGGGCGGTGGTGGTGCACACCTTTAATCCCAGTACTCGGGAGGAAGAGGCAGGCAGATCTCTGAGTTCGAGAACAGCCTGGTCTACAGAGGAGTTCCAGGACAGTCAGACCTACACAGAGAGACCCTGTCTTTAAAAAACAGATATGAATATGAGGAGTTGGAGAAGAGAAATGAACTAGCTATAATGATCACTTGAAATGTCCTGCAGGAGGACGTGAAGGAGGGAGATAGGCAGCTAAGAGCAGTGAAAACCAGAACAGAGCAACTGGGGAGCCAAAGCCCGCAAAGAATTGCCAAATGGAGGCAGTCCCCAGCCTTAGCGCAAAATTAAACTGTCAACTAATCTTACCAGGGAAGGACTGAGAGCAATTCAAACTTGCGCTAGCCACACATAGTTCTTCCAGTATTTTCTATTACATAAAATCTAAATTGCAGCAGACACTTACCACTTTTATAAGAATATATTTGCAGATGCCAAGGGACTTTTAAGTACTTACACCACATCAAAAGCCACCCTGTCGGGCTCACAGAAATCAGGTCCATTTATAAAAGGAACCATAAAATTTACATTGCTTGAGTTAGATAAGAACATTTGCTATTAAGCCTGAAGACCTGAGTTCAAATCCCTAGCACCTGTAAGCCAGGCATGGCCTCCTGATGGTAATTCCAGTGGTGTGAGAGGTAGGTTCAGCGACGTTGCCAGGGCTTACTGACTGCCAGCCTAGCTCCGTGTTCAGTGACAGACCCCTCCCAAGGGAACGAGGTAGAAGATGATAGAACAAGACTCCCAGTGTCCTCCGATGGACTCTACTCACGTTCACAGGCATGTGCCTCTATGTGCACACCACACAGACACACATGCACGCACATGTGCATGCTTAGTACATAGGCAATTGCCAAAGTTTTATTTTTGCACCTACTTTAAAGCAGAAGGAAAATATAGTGTGATATCAAATAAGACTCAGTTGATGGGATCATACAAAACATTTAAAGAATGCTTATTCTACTACATACCTCACATTGATTATTGAATCTGTAAAACAATGTTGAGAAGTTAATACATTTGCCCCTCGTTTCAAATGAGCCGTTTGGAGAAGAAATGTTCAGAGTCGTGCAAGTGTAAATTCAAGTGCAATGCTCTCCTCAGTGGAGAATGAAGATCTAGAATGGAAAATTGCAGAGATGGACTGACCCCATCTCCAGAGGAGCCTGTATCTAGGATGCCACCCCTGGCCAGCTGAGGCTGGCTGGCTGCTTGGTTGGAATGTAGCTGGAAGACTTTTGGGGTGGAAGCAAGCTCTTACCTTCAAGCCTAGAAATGCTATGGAGAAAGTTGCACTTAACATACATACTATACTTATTTTGGTCTCTCCGGTCTTCCATGATTATAGACCTCAGTATCTCTATAGTGAAACATAACAAAATCTGAAGTCTCTTTAATTGGCGTTAATGTTAAATCTGGTACTCATTTAACTAAGCTCCCAATTAAAGCATGGAAAAAAAAAAAAAAACGACGTAAACATATGCTTTAAACAATGGATGGGGTGAAGACTTTCAAATTTTAATCTAAAGAATGGCACAGCTTTCTAATATGTTAGGTTCATGCATATTGGCTCTTCCTAAAGCGATGGACTGACTTAGCATCATGCTACCCTCATGGTGTGTGTGAGTGTGTGTGTGTGTGTCTTTATGGCTTTCAATATCAGCAAAACCTTCCCTTTAAGTGGTCTTAGCCGGGTGTTGTGTATCACTGTACAGTAACTGCCAGTACATATGGGATCTCTGATCCATGTAATAAAGTACATTTGTCATGGATCTTGTGATCTGTGTACCTTCCAGCCGTTACTTCATAAATCTGTTCCATCGGAGGATGGCTTTGTACAGCC